CTGCGCGGCGCCGCTCTCCGCGCGGCGACGGGGAGGGCGCCCGCCCGGAGCTCTCCGGCGGGGGGGGGGGGACCGCCCTGGGCCGTCTTGGAGACCTCTTCGGACCGCCTTGGATCGGCGGCGCGCACAAGGGGGGTGGAGGGAGGGGGAGGGCTTCTTAGAAGGAGGCTGCTTCTTAGAAGGCGCCAGCCTTACATCTACAGATGAGGCCCGCGCCTTCTAAGAAGCAGGGGTGCTTCTAAGAAGCCCTCCCCCCTCCCCCCACCCCCCTCTGCGCGTGGCCGATTGGAATGCAGACATGCCTCCGCCCACCCAGGTCCCGTGCCCTCCCCGCGATTGAAGGGGCTCCTAGGGGAAGTCCCACCCCACAGGTCTGGACGGGAGGTGGCGGCGGGTGGTTTAGCGTGTCCAAAAAGGGCCCGAGACGGCTCCAAGAGCGCCTCAGAGGGGCCATCATGACCTCCACGATGGGTCAAGATATCCGAGGATCGCTCAACAGGGGACCCGAAGACCGCTCCAAGACGGACCCAAGTGGCCACTGAGCCTCCCGAAGAGACCCCCGAGAGGCCAAAATCCGGCAAAAGCCTAAAGGACATCAGCGATGACTACCTCCTTCCCGCCTCTTCGTTTCCACTGGGCCTCTGGAGCATCAAGATGGCCCCAAGATGGCCTCTAAGAGCCATACAACAGAGGCCCGAAACGGTCCCCCAAGAGCGTCCCGCAAGAACACCCCGAGAGGGCCTCAGGAGGCGACTGAAATGGAATCCACAAAAGCAGTGCTAATTACGATGTCCTCCACTATTACACAAAGAGGGCGTTCAAAGGCACTCCAAAAGGGCTCCAAGATGGCCCCAGGAGGCACCCAAGAGGCCCATAAGAGAAGACGGCGCCAAGACGGCCCCACGGCAGCCCCCAGACACCTACAACAAGGCCAAAGGGCCCCAAGACGGCCCAAGAGAGCCCAAAGCCGGTCCGGTGTAAGAGGGCACCAAGACGGCCCAAGAGGGCCCCAAGACGGCCCCCAAGACTGCCTCACAGGAAGCCAAGAAAACCCAACCACAGCACAAGCAAGATCACCACTACCAACACCACCAACCTCCTCCTCCTCCTCCTCCTCCTCCTCCTCCTCCTTCCTTCCCTCCTCCTCCTCCTCATCATCATCGTCGTCGTCGTCATCATCGTCATCATCATCATCAGCATCATCAACAGCATCATCATCACCATCACCATCATCATTACCATCATCATCATCATCATCATCATCATCATCATCATCATCATCATCATCATCATCATCATCATCACATTCATCACATTCATCACCATCACCATCACCATCACCATCACCATCACCATCACCATCATCATCATCATCATCATCATCATCATCATCATCATCATCGTCATCGTCATCGTCATCGTCATCGTCATCACCACCATCACCATCATAGCCATCAGCATCATCATCATAATCATCATCACCATCACCATCACACTTATCATCGTCATCATCATCAGCATCATCATCATCATCATCATCATCATCATAATCAGCATCACCACCATCACCATCACCATCACCATCATCATCAGCAGCATCATCATAATCGAGAGAGCGTGATCCACCGCCGCTTTACTGTGGAAAATTGCCGCCCTTTTCCTCCAGAACCCGGGGGTCCCCCCTCCCCCCTCCGAAAATCCCCCCCCCCCCTGCTGGAACCCCCCCCCCCCCTTCCCCCGGCAAAACCCCCCCCCCTCCCTACCCCCCCCCCCCTCGAGCTCGAAAACCGGGGGGGGGTCACTACCGGTTCGAACCCCCCCCCTCGAAAACCGGAAGGGGGGGTCACTACCAGTTCGAACCACTCAGCTGTCCCCCTGTTCCCACCACTGTCCCCACTGTCCCTGCCACTGTCCCCACTGTACCTCTGTCCCATTGTCCCACCGCCGTCCTCGCCACCGCCTTCACCACTGTCCCCACCACCACTGTACCCTCCACTGTCCTCTTGTTTCCACCACATTCCCACTGTCCCCACACCACTGTCCCCACCACCACCGTCCCCACCACTATCCCACTGTCCCCACTGTTCCCACCATTGTCCTCACCATTGTCCCCACCACTACCGTCCCCACCACTGTCCCACTGTCCCCACCACTGTCCCGCTGTCCCCTCGCCACTGTCCCCACCACCACCGTCCCCACCACTGTCCGCACCCCCCCTCGGTTTTCGAGGGGGGGGGGGGGGGTTCGAACCGGTAGTGACCCCCCCCGGTTTTCGAGCTCGAGGGGGGGGGAGTTCGAACCGGTAGTGACCCCCCCCCCTTTTCATGATGACCTGGGGGGGGGGGAGGGGTTCGAACCGTCTAGTGACCCCCCCCGGTTTTCCGGAGGGGGGGGGGGGAAGGGTTCGAACCGGTAGTGACCCCCCCCGGTTTTCCGCTAGCAGCGGTAGAACACGCTCTTTCTCATAATCATAATCACCGTCAGCGTCACCACCATCATCATCACCGTCGTCATCATCACCATCATAAACATCAGCAGCATCATCATAATCATCATCACCATCACCATCACCACCACATTTATCATCGTCATCATCATCAGCATCACCACCATCACTATCACCATCACCATCATCGTCAGCATCATCATAATCATCATAAGCGTCATCATCAGCATCGTCATCATCGTCATCATCGTCATCATCGTCATCATCATCATCATCATCATCATCGCCGTCGTCTTCGTCATCCTCATCATCATCGTCATCATCATTATAATCATTATCATCGCCGTCGTCGTCGTGGTCGTCATCATCATCAGCATAATCATCACCACCATCGTCATCATGACAATCCTCATCATCATGATCACCACCAACAGCAACATTATCATCTCGACTCTCCCAAGCCTAGAGACACGAGCTACCACAAGTGGCGACCTCCCGTGCCCCCTCGATCAGTCGCCACCCAGCATGCTGGGCTGGCACGGTGGTGGGACTTGCCGCAGGCAGCTGGATAGAACTTACTGCTTGGGGCCCACGGTGGCCGACACGTCCTCCACTCCCACGGATCGTGGGCGTAACGGGGGCCTGGGAGGGGATGAAATGATGCACCCCCCCACAGCCACGAGCAGCAGCAGACATGGGGCGGGAAGCGGGCTTCCAACGCTGACCCAGCCTGCTGGCCCCGACCAGGCCCACGACTCCTGGGGCTGCCCGCTTGCACTCGGGCGAGCCGGGCACACGGCATCCCACGAACAGCGAACGCGGATCCGGAGCCCGCGCGTCCAGAGAGTCGTGGATCCGCCAACGAGCCAGCGCGTCCACCGAGTCGTGGATGGTCCGTTGCCCAATCCCATGTGCAGCCAACCGGTGCAGTGAGGATGCGCGATGAGGACGCAAGGGCCTTGGACGCCCACTTTGGAGCTTTTCGAGCGGGGCGCGGCCAGCGAAAGCGGCGAAGGATGGACCGAGGAGGCAAGGATGCAAGGGTACCCTTGGGAAGGTTGCCCATCCTTACTATGCGGTTGACTGTACCTCAGCCGTCACTCCCGAGGAGTCTTTCAAGGCCGCGGAGCCCAAGTTGCCCAACCTTTCGGGACGTGCCGCGATTCCCCTGGGGCTTGGCGCGTGGTCCGTGGCGCGTGAGTTTTTCGGGCCCCAAAGGGCTGCCAGAGGGACCCAGGGAGCCCCAACACGCCCCCAGTACCAAGCACGGTGGCGGGATGGGCCGAAGGCCACTGGATCCGCCGCCCCCTGCTTGCAGGGGTGCACGGCGTGCTGGATGTTTCAGGTTTTGGTTTTGGTTCTTTTTCTAAAAGAGTTCCCCAGTGGGCTTCGGCCCGTCCCGCCGGCCACCCTTCCAGGACCTCAATTCCCCAATTTCCTCCTCCAGACGGCTCCAAGATGGCCTCCAAGACGGCCAAGATGGCCCAAGATGGCCTCCAAGATGCCTCCCAGACGGCCAAGATGGCCTCCAAGACGGGTAAGATGGCTCCAAGATGCCTCCAAGACGGCCCAAGATGCCCTCCAAGACGGCCAAGATGGCCCCAAGATGCCTCCAAGATGGCCCAAGAGGCCTCCAAGACGTTCTCCAGGAGAGCCCGAAGAGGCCAAAATCATTGGTTTTCCTTAGGTTTTTGAAGGTTTTTTGCGTTTTCTTCTTTTCGGCCTTCCGACGGCCCAAGAGGCCCCCAAGATCGCCCAAGAGGCCTCCAAGAAGGCCCTATGACGGCCCAAGGGCCCCCCAAGACGGCCCCAAGAGCGCCCCAAGACGGCCCAAGAGGCCTCCAAGACGCCCAACATGGCCTCCAAGACGGCCCTGAAGCGCCCCAAGAGGGCCCCAAGACGGCCCAGAGAGGCCCCCAAGACGGCTCCAGACGGCGTCAGACGGACCAGGAACGCCCTAAGACGGCCAAAGAGACCCCCAGGAAGCCCCCAAAGGCCCCCAAGAGGCCCAAGGAGGCCCCCAAGATGCCTCCAAGAGGCCTCGAAGAGGCCCCCAAGAAGCCCCCAACAGACCCCAAGGGTGCCCCAAGAGACTCCTAACAACCCTCATCCTCCTACTCTATTTCTTCCTCTTCCTCTTCCTGTTCATAATCATTCTCTCCCATGTGTTCCCCGAAAGCTTTCCAAACCGACTCGGGGAACTCATGGTCCGATAGCTTGGCCAAGCTCTAGTCCAACGTTCGGCCACATCGGCGTTTCCAAAAAGGCAGGGGGCGGCGGTGATTCGCCGTAGGCGTCTTCGATCCGCCGCCCCAATGTTGATTCATCACAGGAGTGCCTGGCGTGCTAAACCCTCTCGGTTTTGGTTTTGGTTCTGTTTCCACAAGAACTCCCCCTAGGGCTTCGGCCCGTCCCGCCGGCCACCCGGAAAGGACCTCAATTGCGGAAAATATTCTCCAAGACGGCTCAAGATGGCGCCAAGATGGCCACGTTGGCCCAAGATGGCCTCCAAGATGGTCCAAGACGGTCTCCAGGACGGCCCGAGAAAGTCCAA